GCGGGGGAGCACCGCCTCCCGGCGCGGCAGAGCTGCCTTGCCCAGCCCTGTCCAGCTTGCCATTTCCCTCCCGGAAAAGGGCTGACAGCCCCACCTCCAGAAAAAAAGGTTATTGCCCCTTTTTTACCTATAAACGCACCTACCCTCCCCTTTCCCCCCCGTGCTGTGCCCGCGGCCCGTCCTCCCGCCGCCTGGCACTGGCTGTCGGGCCATCGGCTTACGAATTCCTGCCGACTTCCAGCCCGGTGTGAAACGGGGGAGCCCGGCAGCCCGCACACACCGGGGGCCGCTTGGGCAATCGCTGTCGCCGCTTCCGAGGCGGGGCGGCTCCTGAGCCACACGAGGAGATTTGCCAGCCCCCTCCGGCCGGGTCGGAAAAGTCGTGGCAAAACCCAGAGCGGTCAAATACGGCGCCTTTTCTCAGCTTCCAGTCCCAGACAAAGGCGAAACAGGCAGCTTGTAATTCGTTTTTTATTTTATTTGGAAATCTCATCCAGAAACACTGGTCAATAATAAATATATCGATAGTTATCAAGAATATATAAAAAATAAAGACACGGTGTTGTCTTTGAGGCCCTAACAAAAACAAACAAACAAACGAAATTAATAATAACAGTATTTCAAGCAAACGCCCGGGAAAACGTACCGAAAAGGAAACAAACGGCAACGAAGATTCCGGTTTAGTTTTACAAGTGGCTGCCCTGGCAAGAGCCGACCCCGCGTGAAAAACCAAACCAAACTAAGAAAAAAGCAGCAAACCAGAACAAACCCAAAGCCAACAAGAGAAATAAGCGGAGAGGACCCCAGCCAGCTGAACTAGCACACTTCACCGAGAGCAGGAAACGGGAGATTTGGCAAAACAGACCCGCAGGAGGGTTGTGCTGTGTTTTGCCCTATTTCCCCTCTCTCTCTCTCTTTTTTTTTTTAAGCGGACACAGAGGGTAGAAGAAAAAGAACCGCAAACAAAACCGCATCGCGACCAAATCTGGGGGGGGGGGAAACCCCACCCCCCCCACAAAAAAAAACCAAAAACCCCCACCCACAAACCTTTAGTGAATTCCCTCGGAAGCCCCTGTTGCCAGGGAAGCCGCCCGTGGCCGGTACCCACGGGTGGCGAGCTGCCGTGGGAAGCATGCATGCACTCTCCGGGCTACGCCGGGCCGCCGCTGCGCTGCCGCGGCCGGGTTTGGGGCGGGAGGTTTCGGAGGTGTCGCCGTGCGAAAGGAAAGAAGGGAAAAGCCCGCAAAAAGAGGGAGAAGAAGCCCCAAACCGATCTCATCGTCTCTTAGTAGCTGCGAACGCTACAATGACAACCTTGTCTTTTTTTTTTTTCCTTTTGCATTCATTTTAAGGAATTATTTACATTTGATCACCATCAGCGGCATTTTATTATTATTATTATTAATTATTATTATTATTTATTATTATTCTTTTTACAACAGGGACTTTTTTTTCCGGTTTAGTATAATAAGAAAACATCGCCCGAGGA